ATTCTATATAATATATAATTCTTTTAATGTGTGAACTACTGGTAATTTAACAACCTTATTAGTCCTAATGTTTTTACCATTTTATTGTCAAACATGATCAGTACTTCACAAATATAAAAATATAACTTTTGCTGTAAATTGTCACTGTTGAGTCATTTTAACACATTAAACTGTCATTAATTACACATGTATCCACCTACACGTTAACAAATTATATTATCTAAGAAACTATAAGTATATTTACGAGCCTATACCTGATGCTTTGCAGTGCTTTTTTCGTGAAAAATGTGAATATTTGGAAATAATTATGCATTAAAAGTTTTACTAGTATAGAACCTATAAAATACAAATATAGATGTAACGTATTGTTATAATCCGTGCGCTATATCATTAAGCAATTACATCTAAAATATAGGCTTAATACTAGTAGATCTAGTAAACATAGGCAACTGCAAATAAGCTCACAAACAAGTCGATTATCTTTAAATTTAGAACGATATCAGTCGTCAGAAATACTGCTAAGCAAATACTCATCTGAGTCTAGTTTAACAGTTTTTGTACCAGTTGTTTACCTTCAAGTCGATTACAAATACTGACAAGTAGTACACTTTCCACAGTCTGACAGTGTGCACCCAGCTTGTCACAAAGTATTTATAGGCATCTAAACATTGCATAGCTTGAATATGAGGTACTAAAATTAAAAACTAGATAACTGAAAATCTCAGGGTATTAGATGTCGGAAATGTCCATAACTATGGCTATGTTTGTCAACATAACTAATGAAGAGGCAGCTAAACTTGTGTCATTGCCGGAGGAATATAGTACGGGTCTGCCATAGCCATTCCAATTGATTTTATTAATGTGTCAGCAGAACTCAAATGTTTAAATTTAAAATTTTTGACATTTGAGGGTTGAGTGAAAGGAGAATAAACAGCTTCAGTAACTTCATCTTAGATTAATAAGCTATTACTTTTAGTGTTTTGATACATTGCTAGTAATTTTGAATTATAATTATTTGCTTATTATTAATTAAATCATCAGAAGTAAAATCGTGATTCGAATGAAATGCTTTTTGTGCGTTTGACGTAAACATTAGTGTAGATGTTGAAAAATAGAAGATATGTACGGATAAATATATTTCTTGAAAACGTATGTTAATACAGTGCAATTAGACAAAGTAGCAATAAACAGTAGAAACCGGGATAGAATGTCCTGTCCCACCATAAAGCTTCTGTATGCCTTCTGGTACTCCTTCGTGATCTAGCACCTTGATGCTCACAAGGGTTTGCTGAGTCGCAGAGTCTATGACAAAGTTGCACCTTTGGCCACCTAGTTTTCCTGTCACATAGACACTGTGTGTGCTTGGCATTTTACACCTAGCTGTTGGGACTTTCATGATGGGGGTTGGTGGGCGTCGCTCAACACCAACCACTACTGGTCTCCTTAAGGCCGACTTGTTGGTAATATTCTTCCTACACTGGCTCCTCAAATTTCCGTACTTTCCTCAGTTCTATTTGACTTTCTGGGCAGCAGCCTTTTCTGCTGTGGCATCTCCCCTGTGTTGAAGTTTCCAGCATTGAGCTCTCTTGTGCCTAGGTTTATTACAGTGCCAGCAAAATCTCTCAAACCTCTCT